GCCCCTCGCCCCAGGTGACGATTGGCAACCTCGAGGCGGGCAGGGGCGCGTGGGACACCGCACAGGACCGATCGAGCACCGCACGCTTCGACTACGACGAGTGGAGGCGCCGTGCAGCCGCCGGCGCTGCGCGAGCCGCCGCGAGCGCGCGCGACGAGCTGTGTGAGCCGACGCAGTCGCCCGCGGCGAGCCCGTCACGCACTTCAGGTGTTGCCACACCACCGCCCCACCGCCGCGCACCGCCCCGGCCCCACAACTCCGTAATCCGCGCAGCACCGTGTAACCTGAGGGAGGGTGTGAGGATTCTGAGTGTAGAGCACGAGAGAACTGTAGAGCTGTAGAGATGCAGAGCGCTGTGTGTAGAGCAGCGCTGTAGAGAGAGCGCCGGCACCGCGCGCCCCCCGTGCGCGGTCTGGGGGCTGGCGGGGGGTGCCCCGAGAGCTCCGTGGGTCGCGGGGGCGGGGCCGGCGGCGCCCGCTCGCCGCCCGCTCTCCCGGACACACTCCCGCGCCCTAGGCGCCTCTTCCACTCCTCGCTCGCCGAGTATACGGCATGCCATCATGTCTGTTTGAACACCACTCGAGTACGTTCGCGCTTGCGGTATCTTACGTACGGGCACATGCGCACATGCAAATCCCGGCCGGGAGCACCTCACAAGGGGCCGAGGTCGAGCGCGGTCTCACCAGAGGCGACAGTGGCAATGCGGTAGCCAAAGGCGGCGACGACGCCGAGCAGGACGACGAAGAGGGCACCGTTGATGAGTGGCTTGTTCTTCTCGAGCGACTCGACCAGGTCCGCCGCCTTGAGGATGTCGTCGTCCGACTGCTTCTCGAGGCCCTCGGGCGAGCAAACCAGCACGCCCGGGTTCTTGAGCAGCAAGTCCGCCGCCGCCTTTTTGCCCAGCCGCTTGTTGAGCAGCGCGTAGGTGCCCTTGATCTTGCGCGGGCTGTTGAGGGAGGGCAGGATGACGGCCGTGTTCTTCGACAGCATCTCGAGCGCCACCTACCGGCGGGCGTGGCCTCTTCTCTCTCAGAGACAGCGCGACTTGGCACCTCTCCGAGAGGCACCTTCTCGTTCGGGTAGCACTTTTTGAACTCCCTCCACAGGATGAGGATCTCCTCCTCCTGACCGGCCTTCTTTGCGCCGCCCGTCTGAAAGGAAACCCTCTCCGCAAACTTCTGAGGAAGGCCGCCCTTGATCAGCTTGGCACGCGCCGGATCGGCGCCATCGGCGATCGCCGAGCCGCGAGGCCCTGGCCGGCTGCCTGCACGAGGCGCAGCGAGGCGCGGCGCGGCTGCTGCGGCGCCCCACGAAAGCTGCGCCGTCGGTGCGCCACGCCAGGCTGCTACAGCGATGAGCAGGGCGGCGGCGAGGGCTGGCATACACACATACACATATGCACAGTGGGAGGCCGGTCCCCTGGCGAGTACAGACCACGCCTCACTTTTTCACAGGGGGGGATCCGTCTGGAAAAAGGAGGCCTGTGACAAGTGGAGCGTTGGATCGCCGTCTTTCGGCGAGGATGGGTGTTGGAGCCCTCTTTGCTCAACATGCGGCCTGCTCTGCCGCCTCAACGAGACCGCCGCGCGCGCGCGCGCTCGGCATGCCTGCTGCTCGTCTGCCGACCTGGCCAGGCCGCGCGTGGCTGGCGCCAGCTCGTCATCGCAGCGGAGCACCGGAGGCGCGGTTTGCCCGCTGCTGGCTCTCGCCCCGCCGGCGGTTCCACGTGAGTCTATCACACTCTGGAGCCGAAACCAGCCGGAAATGTGCCTCCTCACAGCTCCTCATGGATCTGCGAAGAGAACCGTCTCCTCCAAGTAGCTCCACAGCCGGTCCGGCTCGCCCCTCGGGCCTCGTTCAAGCGTGCTGTGTGAGTGTTGAGGTGATACGAGCGCGCGTGGGCGCGGCGCGAGTGCCGTTTTGGGTCTCTTTTATACCAGTGATGAAATATAAACCGACTTTACCACGCGCGCGCACGCGCGCCGCGCTCCTCGACTCTCTCGCACCCGCCCCGAGCCACGCCCCTCACGAGATAGGCGGCTGCGACCCTGAGAGTGCGCAGCGGTGCCGCTGGCGTGCTCACCACACCCACCCATCATGCCTGCATCATTCCTGCACGCACTGCCCGGTCTGGCCGGGGCGTGGGGCGAGATCTGGCATGGCGGCGCGCTTGAACTGCGCCTCGATCGTCTCGCGGCGACTGCTCGCAGGCCGGTCGGCCAGAAACTGTGCCGCTCAGCCATCCGCCGAAGCGAGCGCGCCGGCGGCGGTCCGCCGCCGGCGCGCTCGGCTCAGTGTCTTCAAGCCCGCCGCCGGTGGGGAGCTCCACATGCCGCACGCCTGCTTTCGCTGCGCATGCTCGAGCCCCCGGCGAGGGCTTGTGCTGTGAATAGCAGGCGTGGTCTGTACTCGCCAGGCCGGTCCCGAGTCTGTCGGGGCGCAAAAAGAATTTCAAAATTCGAAATGCGTGTCGGCCGTATTGAACAAATGTGTGTGCGAGTGGCGAATCTCTGCTCTGCTACCTTCCCCGCTGCCCGACGTGGCGGCGCCCTCTGCTCAGCGCCCCCCGAGGACAGGAGGATACGGAAAGGGCACCTTGATGGCTGAGCCTTCGGCGCCGCCGATGCCGGGCACGATCTGCCGCTTGCGCGACTGGACGCCGACGAGGTCGATCCTGCCGTCGGGCAGCTCGGTCGGTGTGATGCTGTTTCCGTCGCTGTCGAGGAAGTTGCCCTCTCGCACAAGCTCGGCGGCGTACTCTGAGGAGGAGGGCAGGTAGGTTGCCTTGGGCACCACGCCATAGCTCGGATCGATCGCCTTGAAGGAGCTGCGCACGTCGGTGACGAAGAAGAGGCAGTCGCGCACGATGTTGGTGCCGTCGTCGCCGAGCATCGCCGCGTCGGTGCTCGCCTGGTCTATCTTGAGCTGCGCCTGGCACGCCGCGCCAATCTCGTCGGCCTGGCCAAAGAGAACGTCGGGGGTGATAGTTTCCTGCACGGCGACGCGCAGCAGGAAGGTCTCGCCGGTCGGGTCGGTGAAGGGGCCCTGGATCTTGCTGTCAAGCATTACGATGTCCGCCGGCGTGTACTGGGCGATGCTCGACTTCGCCTCGAGCATCTGCTTGGTCCAGCCCATTGTGTCGTCGATGCCCGCGAGAGGCGCGAGTATATCCACGGCGGTCTTGTCCGATTCGGTCGTGGTTGAGGAGGTGAGGCCGAGCGTGTCGGAGAGGATGGTGGCGAGCATCAAGCCAGCGATGTTCTTCTCGCACCCGGCGCCGGGGATGGGCCGATTCGCCTGCCGCGATCGCGAGAAGAGCACGGCGCCCGCCGACCCGATCGGACGCACGTCCACCTCGTCTGGATTGAGTGTGACGAGGCCTGTCAGCTTGTGGTGGTCGACGATTGATTGGATCTGGTCCGACACCACGTCCGCCGCGCCGGGCGGCATCTCGGCGACGTTATTCGTATCGACAGTGCCGAAGACGGGGAAGGGGATGTCGTTGATGTGCTTCAGTATGGGCGGTTTCGGGATGCCAAAGTACTCGAGTACCCACGCCGTCTCCGGGTTGGGCTCGTCTGAGTTGATGTACGCCTTGGCGCAAACGGCGGTGGTTGGGCCAGTATACCTGCGGTGTGGAGAGAGAGCCTCAGGGCCGTGAAGGCCTGTACAACGCCTGCAGCTCGACAAGAGGCACCCCGCATGCGGACCCGTGGGAGGGTGCGTCAGCTCCCACTCGCGGATGATGGCTGCGCTGATGGCGTCTGCGCACGCGCCACGACGTCGCATCAGCAGGCAGGTAATGGGCGCAGCCAGGCTGTGCGGATCGCACCGGTGTCGGGCGAAGAGTGGCCAAAAATTGCAATCTCGTCGCCCTCGCAGGGCGGCGGCTCTTCGCCGCAGGGTGGCGCGTTGTGGCCGATTATAATGCCAGGAAGCTCCAGCTTGTCAAAGCCGAAGAACTTCGCCAGCGTCTTAACGGCCTTGCCTGACAGCTCGGCATCCTTCTCCGGCGCCACAGTCGACAAGAGCTGCAAGACAGAGGGGCGCGGTTAGCGCGTCAGCCAGGGGTGGGCATGCGGTGAGCTTCGGGAGAGGCGTGGGCCTTGGGCGTAAGATGCTGTCGGTGAGCGCCGGCGACGAGCAGGCAGAGGAGGCCGACGCTGGCGACGGCGGCAATCAGCGGGCCGGCGGGCGTGGAACACCGCGCGCGGCGATCACGGTCAATGATCATGTTGTTGTTCTGCTGTGGTGCTCGTGTACCGGCGTGGGCGCCGACCGGCCGACGCGGCTATTTATTGCAATATACTTATTACGGAATGCGGTCGGCAATATGCAAGCCAGTAGATCGGTTAGTTCGGGGTCGCCTCGGGGGCGAAAACCAACCCTTTCCTGGCTCACAAGCTTAAAGATCCGCATCGGGAGCCCCGGGGTACTCTGTAGCTGTACATGTACTCGTTAGGCAGGGGTTGGGAATTCGGTCGGGGGGGGTCGTCGGGTGCCGCGCCGCGGTCGACCGCGTGGCATTATGGTGACAGGTACGCTGTAGGCAAAAGAACCAAGAATCGAAGTGAAGAAGCGAACAGGTTGATTGTGATGTAACCCTGAAAAAGAAAGAAAACACTCAACCCAATCGAGGGATGGGGGAGGAGGACAGGGTCCGGTTTTGGGTCCCCACCTGCACGAGCACGAGCAGGATTTTGGAAGGACGATCAGGGGCATGATGTAACCCTTATAAATAAATATCATCTCCAGGGAGAGATGGGCGACGCACACCAACACATCATACGGATGATGCGGGTTTTGATTTGTTTTCGACACGGTCGCTCGCGGCCCCGATCCGGTGTATGCGCCCGTTGCTGCAGGGCTTCCGCGGGTGGTGTACAGCGCGCGGCGGCGTGGCGGCCCACTCGCTGCCACTTCTCGCGCTGCGCGGCGGCGCGGCCGGCGCCGACGTCTCTCAGCTCGTGCTTGATGCGACCTTCTACCTGGGCACTGCGATGGCGTCGATGGCGGGCACCATCACAGCAGGCTCGTGCGAGATGGACCTCTTCGGCTGCACGATCGTGGGCACGCTCACAGCCATCGGAGGCGGCACGATCCGCGACATCATCCTCGGCCGCACCGTCTACTGGCTGACCGACACGTCGCACCTCACCATCGCGCTCGCCGTCTCGGTGGGCATCTTCCTCACGTCACCGCCGGCTCGGTATGCGTGTCTTCACACCTCGCCTTGCTTGAGCAGGTCGCCATCTTCCTCACCTGGCCCGCCCTCGTCTCGCTCGGGCTGCGAGACTCGCACCTGGCCTTCCTGTGGAGCGACGCGCTCGGCATGCAGCACATGTGTGCGTCGTCGCAGACTGGTGGTGAAGGCTTCACCACTCACGATTGGTCGTCAGGCATGGCCTCCTCGTGCATCGTCGGAACGCACATCGGCTATGAGCGGACCGGCAAGGCGCCTCTCACACCTCGTACCTCGGCCGCACCTCGGCTGCACCTCGGCTGCACCGCGACTAGAAGAGAGAAGAGCAGCACCGCTTCTCCCCTCCACCGCGCTCTCCATGCCTCCCCATAGCCACAGCCGCCTCGCGCAGCCGCCTCCTCGACCCCTCCTCCCCCTCCTCGCTCCCAGGCGAAGATCGCGATCCTCTGCGGCGTGCTCACCTCCATCGGCGGAGGAGCGAGATGTCCCCGAGAGCTCGCCCAGAGTGGATCTCGCCGAGAGGAGATCTGTCTCGCCAACTCACAAAGGCCCTCTCTCCGAGGGCCACACAGAGACTGCCTCTTCTCTAGGGCGTCCTCTCTCTCACGCCCATGCCCCAACCCTGACCCCAACCCTGACCCTGACCCTGACCCCCCGACCCCCTGACCCTCTGGCCCCTGGCCCCCTGCCCCCCTGGCCCTCACAGGCATCATGCGCGACCTTCTCTGCCTCGAGCGGCCGCGCGCGCTGCACGCCGACCGATCGATGTGCGCCACACCTCAGCTCACCTCGCCCACACCTCGCCGCACCTCGCCCGCACCTCACCCGCACCTCGCCCGCACCTCGCCCGCACCTCGGCCATATGCTTGGAGGGCAGGTACGCCACGCCGGCGCTGCTCGGCGCGCTGCTGTTTGTGCTGTTGAGTGGCGACAAGTACTACGCCGCCGCGGAGCCGACGTCGCCGGTCCCGCTCCCCGCCGGGGCGGAGTACTTTGTGCCGTGGCTCTTTTGCCTGCTGCTGCGCGCCGCCGCCTGGACCTTCCGGCTCGCGCTGCCCCACTGGGCCCGCAAGCGGCAGTCCATCTTCGACTTGCGCGGCGCGCCTCCCCCGCTCGAGGCGCAGCCCTCTCCGCGCCCCATCGCCCCATCGCTTTTCCCGCGCGCCGTGCCATGGACAGGCTCGCTCTCGCTCGAGCCGCAGAAGCCGCAGTTCCAGGTGGCGCTCACGCCGGCCGAAGGGCACAACTCCATCGCTGACCGGGCGGGGCTGGCCGCGGCCTCGCGCCTCTTGCAAGCCAGCGCCTCACTACTCACTATCCCCTGGCCGACATTAGGTGGGCCGGCTGCTGCTCGGGCCGAAGCAGAGGCGCCGCTTTGGCCTGCCGCAGCTGCTGGTGCCTAAGGGGCGGCGGGGGCGGCGGAAGGTGCCGCCGCCGGCCGACGAGTTCGACTAGAGCGGGGGATGCAAGAGCGCGCCTGTGCTCTCTCTCTGGGGGGGGAAATAAAAGTGCACCAAAAGTTTTTCCTGGCCGGTGTGAATAGGCCCGCGGGTAGTCTCCCCCCATCCCCAGGGGGCCTCGGTCGCGGTCCAGGGCTCGCACGACCTCAACCCCTCTCACACGTCACAGACCAGCGCATAGCGCCATAGGACGTATTTTCTTCTCATAACAAGGCTGTGAATTTTCGCGTCTCCAAGCGAGGAATCGCGCCTCCCACTCTACACACTACCTCACTAGTCGCACGATATCGGACGATGACGCGAGGATCGCTCCACGCTATACCTCCAATATCGCGGCTCCCACAAGAACGGCCACGGCGACGTCAACGGTTCGGTCAAGCTCAAGAGGCGCATCGCGGTTTCTACCACGACGCGATCTTTGTCAAACGCACAACAACTTCAACCTGATGCTCCACGAGACGTTCGGCGGCGGCTTCTCGCTCACCGCCGTTCTCAAGCTGAGCCCTGGTCTGACAGCCTGACAGCAAACCCCGGACAGCGCCTGACAGTGCCCGACAGCCTGACAGCGCTGACAGCACTTTCTCTGACAGTCTGACAGCACGTATCTGACAGCCTGACAGCAGAGCCTGACAGGCGAGGCGACCCGTCGCTGTCAGGCCCTAACGTGACAGCCTGACAGCTGCCTGACAGCCCGACAGCACACAGTGGCCTGACAGCAGCGCTGACAGCCCGACAGCAGCACAGACCGTACACATACCCCGTAGAGCCTCTTTCTTGTGCCCCATGAGGGTATAACAAAATTACATGCAAAGACATGCACATGTCCATGCACATGCACATGTGCATGTGAGTGTGGTCCATGCAGTCATGGGATGGTCATGGGTCTCTCTCTCAACCCTCCCGCCCCACCTCTGCGGACCTCTCTCTAGCACCGGCGGCTGTGCTACTACAAATGAAGCTACCAGCTAGCCTTCTGGGGCCCTACAGTCATATGCCTACGGCGTCTGGGTGGGGGTGGCCGCCGCCGTCTGTGCCGCCGCCGCCGCCTGCGCCTGCGCCGCCATCTGCGCTCCCCAGGCGGCCGCCGCCGCCGGCGTGATCACGCCGTAGGAGGCGGAGGCAGCTGCGTAGCCGCCGGCGTCATCGGCGTCAGCGCCCCCTTGATAGTCAGCGCCCTCTTGATAGTGTCATAAGTGTGGCTGATGTGTGTCAGAGCCTGACAGCACCCCGACAGCACCACCCGACAGCACCTGACAGCAACAGCCCAACGTCTGACAGCAGCAGCAGCCTGACAGCTCCGACAGCTCCGACAGCGTCTGACAGCAACACCCGACAGCTCCGACAGCACCCGACAGCTACAGATCACCTCGCCTGTCAGACACGCACCCGACAGCACCTGACAGCACTGACAGCACCTGACAGCTGGTCTGACAGAGGCACCTGACAGTGCCTGACAGCTGCCCGACAGACCGACAGATCACCTGACAGCACCTGACAGCCTGACAGCCAGGGCTCAGTTCTCAAGCTGCGCCGCCTCGCGCGCAAGGTCGCGCGCGGCAGCGTTGACCGCACGGCCTACTCGGACGCCCCCAAGTACTCGCTGGCTCTCTTTTATGGTCCCACCATGGCGGCGGGGGCGGGGCGGGACCTGACGAGTAAACACCTCGTCTACCATGTGAATGCTGCTGGGCGGAGTCGGCAAGCACGCACATGCACATGCACATGCGCATGTGCATGTGCATGTGCATGTGCATGTGCATGTGCATATGTCATGTGCATGACATAAAGACTGTGCCTATGCACATTCACGATTCAGGCGAGGTGTTTGCACGCCAGGGGCGGGACGCCCTAATTAAGAAAACAACTCATCGTCACTAGTGCGCCCGCGGCCGCTTCCCGAGCGCGCTCGTCGCGCATCCGCTCGTGGTGGGCCTGCCGACGCGTCACGCCGGCGCCCGTGTGCCTCGCCGCCGCGTCCGGCGACGGCATCGATGCTGTCCGCCCGAGCGTGACTCGCAACTCCACGATTTGCCGTCCACGGCCAAACCGGCTCTCCCCACCAAACAAAGTTGAGTCCTCTCTCTAGAGAGAGAGATTTTTAGCAATACCAAACAACTTGATTACACATACTTGTAATTAATCACAAACAATCGACGCACGACGCGCGGCCGAGACGCACACCAAAAGGATCGGCCATTCCAGCGGCCAGACCGCTCGCTTAGGATTGGCTAGACGAGCGGTCTGCCTCGTACTCGTACTACCTCCTATGGCGGGGTATTCCATGGAGCGTGTCATCAAAACAAAATCTCGCGCGTCTGCACCCTTCTGCATCGGACCAAGGACAACAGAGCGACGCCCTCGCCGCCGCCGTACCCGCTCAAGAGGCGCCCCGCCGCCGCCCTCGCCACTACCCTGTCCTCTGTCACCTGTCCTTGACACGCCCTCGACTCGAACTCAGACGCGTGCCACATGGTCGCGTTGCTGCTTTACGTCTTCGGCCAACGCGTCCGTCAGCCGCCAACTCTCAACCACTGCAGTCGAGCGGGAGTGTTTACGAACGGGGCTAGGGCGGCTCGTGAGTGCCTGTTCCCTCCACCGCTCTGGACTTACGTGTCGCCTTCGCCTCAGGGGATGCGCCTCCTGGTGTTCTGCTCGCCGTTTCTCGCTCTCATGCCCGGGCTCGTGCTGCTGGGGCGCGCCTTCACCAGCTGGCACCACCGCATACTGGTTGCGTGCATCGCGCTAGCCTGTGCACGAAGCGGTGCGCTGCGTGCCGAGGCTCCTCTCATCCACAACCACCCGCACTCCTCCCATCCCCTCCCGCTCCGGCCTCCCGTCTTAAAGGATTCCGCCTCGCGGCAACGTGCGGGACGACGCCGCACAAGGAGTCCGACTACTCCGGGCAGCCCAACGCGTTCCAGTGGTTTTATCTCGCCGTCGTCTGTCCGTGCTACATCACCTCCCTCTGTCCTGTCGCGAGCTACTCGCACCCGCTCTCACTGTGCGTGGCGTTGTTCGCTGCGATCTGGTTCAAGGTGGCGGTCTGCATGTCGCTCTGCCTCCACCGCTACGCCGCCCACGCCGCCTTCCAGTGTGAGGGCGCCACGCAGCTCGCGTGCGGGATCTTGGGGTGCCTCGCCTTTCAAGGTGGGCTGATGCGAGAGCCCCCGGCCTGCCCCACCCCACAGCTACAGCTGCTGGCCAGCTCATCGGGCGGGGAGTTGACTGTCAGGGGGCCCGCTCTGGTGGGCGGCAAAGCACCGCTCGCACCACAAGTATTGGGACGTCGACTCGCGCGACCCGCACTCTCCCGCTCTGATCGGAGACGCGAGGTGAGCCCCCCCCCCCCCACGCCTCCCCCCTCACACCACCTGCCCTTTGAGCCCGCCCACACTTCACTGCGGCTTAGATTGCTGGTAGAGCCTCGCAGGCACTGTACGGAGCTCACTAGTGCGGCTGGGTGCTGCCATGGTATGGCCTCAGCCCCCTTCCCGCCTCACCTGCCTGACGCTTGCCCCCCCGCCCGCCAGTGCTTTCACCTTCTTCATCGCGGGCGATTCGGACGACGCCTGTGCGCGGATGCAGGCCGTCGACGAGGACTTTGTCCCGGCGCGTGCCCTCTACCCGAGATAGAGATACGCCGAGACTCAGCCCAGATATAGCCGACACACAGCCGAGAGCGGAGGGAGGACTTTGTCCCGGCGCGTGCTCTCTACGCCCTCCCCAGCCCCTCTCGCCATCGCCGGCCCTGCAACCCCCTTCGCACCCTCGCGCCCTTGTTTTCCGCGCAGGCGCACGCAGACTCGCGCACCATGCGCTGGCTAGACACGTTCGGCGGCGTCCTCTTCCCGGCGCTTGAGTTCCTCGCCGCCTTCCAGCTCGGCGGAGACGCCGCGCTGTGGGTCAGCTTCTGCTCCTCCGCCCTCTGCCAGAGCGGCTCCCTCTGGTTCAACGGCGCGCCGCGGCGGCCCTCCTCGCGCCTCCGCCCAACCTCCACCCCCTCCCCCGCTGATCTCCAACCTCCCCCCGCCGCCGCCCGCCCGCCCCTCCCCGCCGCAGTCAAGAACCACCCTCCGCACGGGGCACCCGAGTGCTCCGCCACGGCGCAGACCCCAGGTATCCTCGGCGTCCTCGCCGGCCGCGGCCGAGGCAGCGAGGCCATCACCGTCGTCTGCGACGCCGTGACGGCGCTGATTGCGCCCCTCGCCGGCGAGGGTACCCACGACCACCACCACAAATACCCCAGGCTCGCCGTGCGCCCCGGTGCCGACCTCTGTCGGTATGTGGTTGCCGCCGCGAGCGCCGCCGGCCTGATCCACAAGGTGCACTGGCTCGGACGAGTCGACGACTCGTCCAAGGCCAATTAGCGCGGCGCCCTCTCTCGCGCGCGCCCTCTTTTTAGCTCTGCCGGCCTCTGTACTATCGCCGTGCGCGCCGACAGAGGCGCCAGCGGTGTCTGTTACTGTTACACCATGCTGCCCCAGCTCTCGGGGGGCACCTTTGTCCAAATGCTAGTCCAAATGGAATGCAAACCGGTGTGTGTGATATTTTTCAGTCCCCGCTTTACGTGTCCTCGTCGTAACCTCTCGAGGGTCCGCTACGTGTACATGTACATGTAAAATGTGCACTCTTCGGTATAATGCGGCTTACCAAACGCCAGCAATACTGTAATAAACACTTCTCTCTAGGCGTAAGGGAAACCCATGGAACTGCCCAAACTCCAGACCGTACCTCAAACTGTGCGCGCCATCTTGCGGATCGCAGCGTGATGTCGGTCTCACCAGCAGCCGGCCTCAGAAACCCATCGCCTCCACCCACTCCTCGAGGGCGCGGAGGCGCGGCAGGAGGGCGAGGCTCTGCGGTTGCATCCCCGCCGCCTCCTCGAGTTGCCTATCCACAAGTGGGGGCACGGCGTGACGAGGCGCCGCCCGCCGCGTCCCGCCCGCCGCCGTCCTCGACTCTGCCTCAGGCGCGGGATCGGCGGCCCATCGCTCTCCAGCCCAAAGCGAGCCTACTCTTCACGCCGGCGCGCGTGAACGGCGTCCGACCTGCCGACCGCTCGCCCCCTCAAGCGCCAGCGAGGCCTCGAGAGCGAGGATCCGCGCCACGACACTGCCCCCGCCGGAGGGAGGAACGCCGGAGGGAGGAAGGCCGGAGGGAGGAATGGGCTCGCCCGCGGCTCGGTGCGCCGCGGGAGAGCTCGCCACCCTCGCAGCCGCCGCCTCCGCCTCGTCGGGCGCGGGCGGCGCCTGCTCGCAGGGAGAGGGGTGAAGAGCGCGTGAGTGCAGCGGCCTCCGCCTCCGCGCGGGCGGCGCCGACAGCACGAAATTGACGAGGCCACGGAGCAGCTCCTCCTACTCGCGACGGGGAGCCGTGAGGAGAGCGTAACAATGCGAGCGGAGCCAGCAGCCCACAGCGCGGCGCTC